ACAAACCTTTTCTCCATTTCCTTAGAACTAGGGATAATCCTGGGTCTGAGAATCTGAGAACCATTATTAAACAAAGAACAAAAACACTTCCACTGGTATTTGTCTATGCAAATCATATAGGAGTCTTCTATATATTTTTTAAACAAGTATTTGTGCTTTATTTGTGTTTAAAAATTAGATGTTCATGATAGTGAAGGAGCCATAAATATAATGACAACAACTAATATTGGATATTTATAGTGTGCCAGAATCAGTACCAGACTCTTTTCCATATATTATCTCATTTAATTTTCACAAAAGTCTGTAGACTAAGCAGTGACTGACTCCATGTTTAGGATGTAGCTCAGCATCCTTGCATGTGTGAGGCTCTGGGCTCCATTCCATCTGGCACCGTTAACAGTGATTAGTCACCAATATTGTGGATGAGGTCATTGAGACTTAAGGTGATTAAACTGTCCAAGATCTAAGTAAGTGAGTGGCATTAGGGAAAAATCCTCTTTTCTTTTTTCTTTTTGGGTCATACCTGGCGATGCACAGGGGTTGTTCCTGGCTCTGCACTCAGGAATTACTCCTGGTGGTACTCAGGGGACCATATGGGATGCTGGGAATTGAACTACATGCAAGGCAAATACCCTACCTGCGGTGCTATCACTCCAGCCCGAAAAAATTCTCTTGAACTTACCACGAGACCTGAGTGTGGACACCAGAAGTGAAGAAGGAAGTACCTTCTCCCTGATGAGGTTTTTGTTGAGCAGTCATTGTAAAATATTGACAGTGTGGACACAGAAGTAAAGTAGGAAGTACCTTCTCTCTGATGAGGTTTAGGTTGACTAGTCATTGTAAAATATTGACAGTATTTTACATTTTACATTGGTCATAGAAATGTATCTTCTTTCTATCAAAATTATTTTTGTTGTTGTTGTTGTAGCTTCGGGGTACCACATACAATGGGACTCAGGGCTTGCTTCTGGATTTGTGGTCAGGGATAACTCTAGGCGATGCTCGGGGTATTGAGGATCAAACCTATGTTGTCTGCATGCAAAGCAAGTGCTTTGTATCTACTGTCCCTATTCCAACCCATATGCAAATATCTTCTTAAAAGTTATATTAAAAAATATATTCATCATCCTCAATTGGTAATTGGAAGTCTACACAAGGAAGTTTTGAACTTGAACCAAATTTTTAAAAATTGTGATTTGTGAAACTGGAGCGATAGTATCGTGGGTACTATCTTGTGCAAGACCAACACAAGTTTAATCTCCAGCACCCCATAGCACCCCCTGAGCCTTGAAAAGAGTGAGCCCTTAGTGAAAAGCCTGGATTAAGCTCTGAGAACCACCAGTGGGACCCAAAAACCTTAAAAAAAAGGTTCATTTGAATGATTGGTAAGGCATATAACATTTTCCCCAATGGTCTCAAATTTTAAATGATTCAGAGGTCATTTGAGTAGACACATCAATAAATGAGGAATATAATCCATTAGTTGAGAATGTTATGGAGATGATAGTATCAGCTATTAATTCTTCTTATAGAAATATCTGAGCAAATCATTATTGTCTACCGAGGACAATAACTGAGATATATAAATTAATACCTAATTGCATGCTTTTAGCAGATTCTGTGAACAAGTGAAATATATTTCATCAGTCATCAAAATTAATTCAAGAAAATAAAGGGAATTATTTAGTTCATGTACAAACTTTATCTAAGATGTTACCTCCATGGAGAGCTTAGAGTTTTGTTTTTCATCACCAGATAAATGCTTTTTCACTAAAAACTATTTGCGCAGTAGTCTACACTATAGACAATTTATTTTCTGATCAACAAACTTTTTGAAATTCAGATTCTATTTTTAGTCACTCTATCTTTCCCACAATCTCCAACAAAATTAGGAGAAAGATTTCAAAAGATTAGGTAACACATATGTATGAACCTTGAGAAGATGTTATCAAATGATAAACACCTTTATCGAAGCTGCCACAGAGAACTTGGGCTTGATTGGCACTACTCCTTTGATCTTATCTAGTCCCAGGTAACTTAGAGTAAAGCACTGTATCCCTGTTGCTCACTGATTTGCTAGAGAGGGCAGCAGTAATGTCTCCACTCGTCTCTGTCGAGTGCTAGTGTAGCCCAATGGCATCTGCTTGCTCCAGAGACACCAAGTGAGACTTGTTGTTACTGTTTTTGGCATATCGAATACACCATGGGTAGCTTGTCAGGCTCTGCTGTGTGGACGGGATACTCTCAGTAGCTTGCCAGGCTCTCTGAGAGGGATGGAGGAATGGAACCCAGGTCGGCCTCGTGCAAGGTAAACGCCCTACCCGCTGTGCTATCACTCCACCCCATAAATTAGAGTGCAAAAAAATGATAAAAGAAAACAGGAGAAAAAAAGTTATTTTTGGATTAAAGTGAAATTTCTATGCTTTTGTATCACTGAGAGAAGCTCAGAATTCTTGTGAGTTAAGTTTGGAAATTTAAGATTTAGGTGACTTATCATCTGGTTGTACAATGTGCAATGTGATGTTTGGTTTTGAAAACATTCCTCGTGCTTGAGGGTCACTTCTAGTTCAGTGCCAGGGGACCATGTGGTGCCAGAGATCAAACTCTGGCTTCTGTCATGCAAAGCCTGAAATCCATTCCTTTGAACTATCATCCTAGCTCTCTGCTTCAAATTTATTTTTTCTTTATGGTTTTGAGGCCACACCTGGCAGTGCTCGAGGCTTATACCTGATTCTGTACTCAGGCTCAAGGGACCATATTTGGTAGTGGGGATCTAACTCAAGTCGGCTGCATGAAAGGCAAGCGTCTTAACCACTGAACTTTCTCTCCAGTTCCCTTCATTCTTAATAAAGTTATATGGGAGCTTCTCCCTTAGATTCTTTTTGGACCTTATTTGATGAACTGAAATTTTAAGTGGAAAAAAATAATAAAATATATCATTAACTAATGAATTTTATTTGTTTTAAGGATTACCTACCACAAAATATGTTTTTACATTTGTTTTATAAAAGACAACTGAGATTATGATAGCCACTTGTGATTTTTCTAAGGGGCAGATAAATAGGAACATTCAATATGAAAGTTATCATAAAGAAAAAAGAAAAAAATGTTTTGCTTTTGTTCTTTTTGAGCTTTAAAAAATTTGAATAAAATTCAGCTACAACAGTATGTAAGTTTTGGGGTGCATTTTGAAAATCAACAAATGTACATTGCTGACAAAGTTTACTGGTGAAATTTCAGTTCCATACTTCACCATAAAATCGATACTTTTTTCCAATTTATTTTACAAGACATGATAAAAACATTTAGTTGGAGCAATTTTAAAATAAATTCCAATTCATGGACTTTAATATATTAACTACTAGAAGCAAAAATCCAGTGCTATGGTTGTATTTCTGGAAAGCCACAACAAACTATTTAAGAATATTTATTCGCTATTAAAGGAAGTTTACTTCCAATGAAGTAAAGAATGGATTATGGCTTAATTAACATGTGTAATCTGGTCCCTTGCATCAAAAATTTTTTGCACAAAATTTTCTGAGCAGGAAAGAGACTGGAGGACAATTTTCACTTGCTATAAAAACTCAAATGTGGTATGCAGGCTCTCCGGGGATAATTTTAATAATATAACTATAGTTTAAAAAATATTGCTTTCATATTTGGTGTGTGATTTAGATTTAATGGTTTGTACACGGTTAATATTGCAGACATCCAGCCAATAACTTAAAATCCTAGCTAAAATTACTTTTACATTATATTTAAAATTATAGTTAATAATAATTAGGCATTATTTTTGGTCTAAAATATGTTATTTTGTGACTAAATATTGTAAGGATGTTTATCTCTATTAGAAATTTCTGCATGATATCCTAAGTTTCCAGGAAACAATTTTGATTCTTGTATATGCATTAAAGGAAATAGCTGAGTCAGCAGTATGCATAGTAAAATTTATGCTCATTCTATTGTTATTTATGGTCTAACAGTGAAAAAACAGAACTGTTAGAAGCAAAGAGAACTGAAAGAAACATGTCCAAAATAGTTAGACACTGTCAAACTCAGAATTCTTTTAGGATAGTCACAATAAATACAGGAAAATGCTTTCAGTCAGACTTATACTATCATTTTGACCTTCACAAGTTATACTTTTCTACAATGAAAGCACTTTTATGTGACTGCACTTTTGACCTTGAAGATATACCTTAGTGCTTTATGACTCTGACCTGACTTATAATGTGTCTCGTCCCCAGACAGAGTTCATCTAAAATTAAATGTTAAAACTGAAATTCTGTAATTCTTATTTTAATTATTCATCAGACAAAGGGACAAAGAGAAGCTTCATCTTCTTTAAAGTCATCTTTTTCTTATTTCATACATCTCATAGCTTTCTCTTGCAGGATGTCCCTCTTCTGAAACTGGGACTGAAGAAATAGCTGCATTGTACTGCAGCCTCAGAACTTGCTCTAGCTCTCGGGCTTAGGAATCAGCTGAAGTGAACAGAAAGATACATGGGCAGTTGACTGACCCATGGGAGCTAAAGCATTACTAAAGGAGACAATGATAAGGTAAGTTATCCATTTTTCTGAACCTTAACTCATCTAACTTATTTTCATATTCTTTCTAATGTTTAACAGAATAACCATACATCTTAGGCTCACTTTCTATTTCTCCCCCTTTCCATCTTCTACTTTAACTTTTGCTTTTCATTCTACTTAGAAGATAGCAACTGTACTTAAACAAACATACCAACCTTGAAAAACTGCATCAACTTCCTGCAGTTGAACATTCTAAAGTCACTCCCCTTTAAATGACTCCCATTCTACCTCTACTGTAATGCAATACCTTTCTAAAGCCAGGGAGCATGTTCACCAATTAGCAGAAAAGAAAATACAAAGTCAGTGCTGCAGCACTAAAAATAAGAAACACGAAGCAACACGAAGGAACTCAGCTCTAAGTAACCTGAAATTAATTTGACTTTCATACACGAACCTATGTTTTCTTACCTTGGATGTGAATCACTCTGTCATGATCTAGAGTATAGTTTTCTGAAAGACGATCAGCACAGCAGATAGAAATCAGCACCAGAAGAAGTAAACTCTTCATCTTTGTAGCCAAAGGGTCTTCTTCACTGTGAGAGCATCACATAGGAAGAGGTTCGTCAGATTTGGAAGCTTTGGCGTGTTGCACTGCATAACTTATTACCGCCTTATCATCATAGAATAGGTCTGTAAAAATGTTTAACCCAATCTTTACAGAAAGTTAGAGTAGCTGTCTTTGGGAGCTGAAGACTGCAGCTCTGAACAATTTCAGTATATCTGAAGTAGCCAGAGTTCAAAGTGTTTAACTCTATCTTTGCAGCACTGCAAAATTAAATAATTACAACACTATACTTTTGACATAGGGTTAAGTGGCAAATCAGAAAGTGGTGTGGCCTCGACAGACACACATTTAAGAACATTAAAGTTTGAACATTAAACAACACACATTTAAGAACATTAAAGTTTGAAGTACAACTTCAAAAACTTACAACTTGATATATTTATATATAGGTATTTACCACCCAGTTTAATTAGTAACTGAATCTTCCTCGGTCAAGTAGACAATATTTACATGGAACTTGATACCATTATTCATTTTACACATAGCTTCCTAAGCACATTATATTTGCTTGTTTGAAACAGAGAAGAGGACAAAAAAATTACTGAGTAAGCATGGAGCAGCACATTCGTTAGCAGCACACTTACCATCTTAAATACTGCTTGGCTCTACGATGAATAGTTGAAAATCACAGACAAACTAGGTTAGAGTTGTGCATGCTGCTGCGGCAGTCCTCCTGATTGATTTTTCATTCATTTCTACCTAAAATGCTGACGCACCAACTTCAACTGCCAGGTAGGGTCTCTGCAGGCAGCAGAGCCACGGCTGCAGGCAACCTCCTTGCCAACAGTCAGGGCAATTAGGCAAATGAAAAGCCAAAATAGACAGAGGCAGAGCTCTGGTATTAAGCGAAAGAGGCAAAGCAGTTACTTGACTGTCCTTTACTGCAAGAGTGTTTGCTTAAAGGGGACACTCTCCCCAAACTTTGTCATTGGAAGGACAAAAAGGGATTCCAAGAGGTACAAACCTTCTGACCTTTGCCGTCTTTTCCAGGCAAGGATTTCAGCGCAGCTCCTCTGTTTGAATGTGGAGCAGGGCAAAAAAAATCACAAGGACTCTCTTTCCTCTCATGCACACAGCGGCCTTAACAATACTTGGCTATTTTTAAATCTGAAATTACACAGTGCTGGCTTCTCACACTAATTTGTTTTTTCCAGGAAACCCTGACTCCCTGGAATAATTGAAGACCTCAAATCTGTTCCTGGAGGTTCTTGCAAGACAGGCTCTCGTCCAGAAGCTAATACACGAATCACAGAAAGATATTCAAGTTGTTCCTAGGACAGACATTAGACACATCTCTGACTTTTCCTTTATAATACCCGTTGTTGTAAAACTTATGGCTTCAGTCTTTCATGTTTGCTATAACCCCTTTATTTTAATTCATGTTGTCACAGGATGATGGTGGGAGAGCAAATTAATGAACTTATGTTTTCCTAGGAAAGTAAAGAGTATCATCTTCAAAATACTATCTAATGAACTAATATTTTTTTATGCCGGGGTGTTTGGATCCACTCCCAGTGATTCTCCAGCCTTGCTTCTGCCTGTGTGTTCAGGGATCCATCCTAGACATGCTCAGGGGACCGACCATATGTGGTGCTCAGGATGGAACCAGGCTACATGCAAGGCAAGTGCCTAAACTACTATCATGTTTATCCAGCTCCTGATATATCAATCTTAAATTCAGAAGTTCACTTGTAGGGAAACATTTTTGAAGCTGATGACTTTTGTTGTTAAGAATAGCAAATTAGCAAAGAGGTGATAAATGCCGCTCTGCTATAAGGTTGGGGATTGGGTACAAGAGGGTGTGAGGACGACAACAAATCTGACTGTTAAAGAAGGGCGACGTTCTAAGTAAAGGGTCTAGAAGAGCAGTGATAGAGAATTTGCTGCATTAATTTTCATATGAATGTGTTCATCAATAGGGAGTTGTACATCTGAACACATGCATGGCTGGGGTTGTGTATTCTATCACTGCATTCATCTTGATTTTTGTATATTCTCACCTAAACTATAATACACATTTTTGTATATCTCCTTTAATTCCATGCAACAGCATTAAAGCTGTATCACTAAAAGCTTATTTTACTGAGTTAATTATCTGTCCCAAGGCACAATTTTAACACATACATCTTGGGTATTGACAAATAATAAACATTACAACAGCTCCTTTTAATTGAAGGTTTCCTTTTAATTTAAGGTCTACCAGTAGCTCAGTGCTGTGCTAAGCACTGTGTATACAGTGGCTCATACAGTCATCTCAATAATACTAAAGCAAATATTTTTATTTTTCCCTAACACAGACATCTACCAAGCTAAAGGTCACACATTTAGGAGGTGGCAAAGTTTGCACTGACTTCAAGTTAAAACAATACCTACTTTGCATTTGTTTTTGTGTTGCATTTTTTAAAAGAGAAACTTCAGCTTTTATTTGTTTTGTTGCCTTTTTACACTGAAGTGTTAAGACTTGAGTCTACAGTGATCTTCAAAAACTTTGGCTTGTGCCAGGGCTGGAGCAATAGCACAGCCGGTAGGGTGTTTGCCTTGCATGCGGCCGACCTGGGTTTTTTATTCCCAGCATCCCCAAAGGTCCCCTAAGCACTGCCAGAGGTAATTCCTGAGTGGAGAACCAGGAGTAACCCCTGTGCATCGCCGGGTGTGACTCAAAAAAGAAAAAAAAATCTTTGGCTTGTGCTAAATTTTAATATAAATGAAATATTTGAACTTTATTATGAGAATCTAGATGACATTTATTATAAGGCTGTTGTGCCCTGCACCATTTATAATGTCACATTCCTACCACTGCTTTGGTGGCTGAGCCCATCACCAGCAGCATAGTCCTGTCACCTTCACAAAGCCCATCAAAAGTGACTGTGAGTAGAGGAGAGGCATGTATCATTGAACACTTCTGAACACCCCACACTGGCTGAAGGCACTCTAGATAGGAGAGATAAGAAAGGAGGAAACGATCTTTGCTAACTTGGTGGCCTAACAGCCATATCATTCCCTCAACTCCTGACCCCCAAATAAAAAAAAATTAAAACTAAAACTTAAAAAGGAACCTTAGGGACAAAAACTTCAGGTACTTAAACTGCAAGTACAGCATTGGGAGATCTCAATGGGGTCCATGAAGAGCAGGGCTGTGCCTTGGTCTGTTCACTGGTTTTCCCTGGACAAATGATAGGATCAGTCTGGAACTTTATATTTTGTAATGCTGCCTTCCTTAAATATGTAGGATTATAGGGGGCCAGAGTGATAGTCTAGCAGAGAGGCCGTTTGCCTTGCACGCAAGGGTTCGATCCCCCGCATCCCATATGGTACCCCAAGCACACCCAGGAGGTAATTCTTGGTGCAGAACCCTTGAGCATTGCCGGGTATGACCCAAAAAGGAAAAATAAAATATTTTTTTTTAAAAATATGTAGTATGTTAGGTAAAAAAGTTTTAGCTTTGGATATGAACAAAATTAAGAAAACATGAACTAGCATTTTAACTTCATTGTGACTTATATGTTGATAGGGCTGGAGCGATAGCACAGCGGGTAGGGCGTTCGCCTTACAAGCGGCCACCATGGCCGACCCGAGTTCGATTCCTCCGCCCCTCTCGGAGAGCCCGGCAAGCTACCGAGAGTATTGGATATGCCAGACACAGTAACAACAAAGTCTCCAATGGAGACGTTACTGGGCCCGCTCGAGCAAATCGACGATCAACGGGAGGGCCTTTACCTTTACCTTTACCTTCTTTTTACAGCCTAATATAGCCCTGTGGCCATAATACCTCAGGCAGCTTTGCTATGAGTCGCACAGAAATATGTCTGTTCCACTGTTAAAGACACAGGCTAAGACTGTCATTTTACAGTTTTGCATTGGTGAAATTTAAGCACAGCTGGAAACCAATGTAAAGACAAATCATTTTGGTAGAACTAAAGATATACTAATACCAGGAGTCCAATACCAAATCAACCAATTACTATCCTGTAAGCATCTATGTTAATATTATTGTATTCAGTACTGGAGAATTAGAAGCAAGCAGAAGTCATGCATGCTGTTTCTTAGGCCTTAGGAGCCAGCACCACACACATATGACCTAAAATAATTTCATGCTTGCCACTGTCCCATATAAGGGATATTTCTCAGATCAACTCAACTGAGGTAAGTCTGTAATCATTAGCTTGACAGTTTTGGAAATGGAACCTTGAATAGTGGAGTGCCAGCATGTAAAGCAGAAGCAGTGTGTACATTTATTATTACTATTATTATGTCCTGTGTCTCTAAAGTAAAGTTCACCCAGTGTTCTTTATCTCGTGATTGAGTTCCAAAGAGTCCAGAAACTCCGCAAATACTGTGCTTACGTCTTGAGCTCCCTCTCTAATTTCCTTTTTTTCCTATAGTGCCCATATCTTTGCCAATATTGTTTTAATTTAAAGTATTTCTTGAGTGGAATGAGCCACATTAGGTATATTCTTAAAAAAATATTTGGTAGATTATTGGTACCTTATCTGATTTTGAAGGGTTTCTATACTGCTGTTATGTTTATAAAAGTTTGAAAGGCAAAGATTTAAAAGGATATGATTAAATTTGGAAAGATTCTCATTTCCAAATGACTAGCAATTGAAATATATACATGTATAAATAAATATATATTATTGTAAAAATAAGTATACACAATATATACAATAATAAGCATAAGTATATATTTGTTATATATAAAATAAAATATGTAATACATTTTACTGTCTGTCCTGTCCTCCCGTTGTTCATCGATTTGCTCGAGCGGGCCCAGTAACGTCTCCATTTTTTTGAGACTTATTACTGTGTTTGGCATATTGAATACGTCACGGGTAGCTTGCCAGGCTCTGCTTTGTGGGCGAGATATATTTTACATAATATGCCAAACACAGTAACAACAAAGTCTCCAATGGAGACGTTACTAGGCCCGCTCGAGCAAATCGATGAACAATGGGAGGACAGTGACAGTGACAATATAATATATTGTATAAACAGTATATATACAAGGATCAGTATATATGAATATAAATAAATACATATGTTCAGCATTAAGAAGGATTATTTGTCATGACTTGTTTTCTGTAAGTTTGGGATGACTGTTATTTTATTGAATCAGTCTTGGAAACTTGTGAGATTGTCTCTGGATCTTTCACCAGGGCTTCTATTTATTCAAAGCATCAGCTTGGGACCCTCTTCTTCTTTCTGAAGCCAATATGGTTTGCCTGCAGGACTCCATGGCAAAGAGAGTAAAAGGAATAGGAATAAGGTGAAAAACGGAATTGGGGAGAAGTATAGAGAGGCTCTGAAGAGGGAAACTAAAGGGGAATAAAGAGCCACTCAAAGAAGGACGGCATTTAAAATGCAACAAAGGTATAACAAAGGGACTATTCTGCATGCTGTCTCTGAGATTGAAGAGATAATAATGCCTCATAAGATGAATGCCATGTTGGGACCAGAGAGATATTACAATGGTTAAAGTGCTCATCTAGCCTGTGGTTGAGGTCGAGACAGTTTGTATCTTTGGCACCACATACTGTCCCCTGAGCTCCACAAGGTGTGGCTCTGAGCACAGTCTCAGGAGTGCCCCACGAGGACTGCAGGGCAAGGTGTAGCCCAAGACTCCCCCGCCCCTCCAAAAATAACCCCGAAACAAATCAAAAAACAATGCTGAGTTCAGGACAAACACAGCAATCCTTCACTTGATTACAGAGCGTCATTGTAGGATTACTGCCCCATATAATCTGCTTTAAATAAATTTTGAGACAGGGGTTAGCTGCAAAGTCATCTTTATTAAAGGAGTCTAAAGTAGTTTTATCTTTTTGTTAATTGATTTTCTTAACATAAAAGATACACGTGTATATAAGCACAAACTGTATTTGGTGTTATCTTTGAATTCTACAAACTTCAGATTGAATACATAGGATGTGCAGAGGAAAGCAGTGCATACACACACTAATAACAGCAAGGATTTATTGAAATCCAAAAAATCCAGAAAATCAATTTTCTTACTCCTGAATATCTAACAGTCAGGCATTGCTCAACAAGTAAGAAAATGAAGCACAGAGAGCAAGATTTGAGACTCTTGGGTGATACAACACATGAAATCCTAACCTTAAAGTGATGCTTATAAATTGCGTTTTATTCAGCATTTATTTGTGTGAAATACCTTCATTTGGAATTGTGTTGTCTAATAGTATAGATTTACAAATATAATATTGTAGCTATGTTTATTTTACATCATATTTGCTGCAGTTCTTTGCTATGAATGTAATAGGCAGAGTGAACATGACTCTCCAATCTTGGGGTGTGACCTTTAACCAAGAGTGTCTTCAAATGTGATAATAGCACTACAAAGTAGTTGTTAAAATCCAAAACAAATGACTTGGAGGGAAACAAATCTTAGTTGAAATTGTTGTAAAAACGGACTTTTTCTTGGTCATTGTGTGTTCCTGATGTCCTTCGGTAAATGTAGCCACACATCATAAGTGTGAGAAGCATGTGTTCCAGAAACACTACCATAAAATCCTTTAAAAATGTCTCCTATCCTAAACATTTATTTACATGGCAGTCATTAAGACTGTTTTTCTCAGGCCAAATAGAAAATTCCACACACTCTCTCAATAGAATCTCAGTATTCTAGTTCTAACTCTACTGTATAATTTACTATGTATTGGAGGACAAGATATACAGATATATATATGTATATATCTGGATATATGTGCATATGTGCATATATATATAATAGATGGACAGAGACTTATGGTTTCAAAGTCCTAGAGTGTATTACAAACACCATAGAATTCATATAGTTTTTTCCTGTTTCTATGAGGTTAGTCTATATACTCTTTGAAGGTATCCTTACTATTAACTCAAACAATTTTCAGTTATGTGAGATTTCTAGTTTTCTGGACTAAGATGATAGATAACAAGGGGGTGTGACTTTCTGTTTTAGTAGGCTATTTTTTAACCAGATAGTTAAGAGAAAGTCAATAAATACATGTCAAGCAATATATTTTAATGATTATGTTGATATTTAAAAATAAGCCTTTTGTCTTATCATTGGGTAATTAATTCTAATTTGCTATCTTAAAATGATACAGAATTTTAAAAACTAGACCATAATGAATATGAGCATTACATTGTTATGCTATTTCAAATGCATCCTTTATAGAATGGAGAACACAATATTTTTTCTATTAGAAGACCAAGAAAATCATCAAAGAACAAATCAATTAATGAACAATTATTGAAAGATTATTACATCTAACAGATTATAACTTAGTAAAACTATCATATCTCTGGCTATCTCATAGTTTCTCTATAGTTTATTATACTAAGTGCCATCATGTGTACGTGGATTTTAATAATAATCAAATTATGAGAATAAAAATAGCTGAGGTAGTTATCATAAAAATATTAAATTTTGTTTCTGGCCTATATTTTCTTGAAAATAAGCAAGAAACACATGTATCTATGTTACATTTTTGTGAATAAGAAACTTTTCCCTGAGGACTATTCTAGACATACTTATACAGGAAAGAGTTAATTTTATGAGTTCTCTCTTTTTTGATTCCAAGACCAAATAACATACTAGCATCAGAAACAAAGAATCATATGAAATAATATGTAATTATGCAGAAAATAGATTTTCCTCTGAGCATAAAACCAAATAACCTAATGTCATTACCAATAATAGCAAATGATTTTTGAAAACTGACAAGGAGTTTGGTGCTAAGTTAATAATATTACAAAAAATAGACATTTCTCTAATAAAATGCAACTTAGATAGAACTTAAACATAAGCATATTAAAGCAATTACCAGAGAAGGTATATGTAGTAATCAGAACTTTTTGTTTTCTAAAACATTATAAAACAATGTTCGAGGAATTAAGAGCTTAGATAGCTGATTCTCTTAGTTTAGTAGCAAATATGAACTTTAAAATAGACAAAAGAACTTTCATTTTTATTACTGTTTTATTAACAATGAAACCATGAAAAGTAGTTTTCTCTTTATATTTAATGTACAAATATGAACAAAATTGGAAAGTTTTAGTACTGCTTTAAATGTAGGTTACACAAAAAATGAATTTAAATATAGCTTATATGCACCCAACTAAATAAAGACAAGTATCTTAGCACAGTCATTATATTTAGGAAGATATCATATAAAACAAATACTTAGAAGTAAAAATTTTATAGAGAATTTATGATAATATCACATTAAAATAAATTACTTGCAGAAGTATTTCTAATTGAGCAAGCAAAATATTAATGTCAGTTAAAATTTAAATATTTCTTATAGCTTCAAAATTTCAACAGCTGTCAAGTTAGACATTAAACTAACACTAAATCTAAAAATACAACTGCAAATTATCTACAAGAGAGTTTTGGTGGCATGATAGAGGTGAGAGTAACAAGTTTTCTAGATAATGCCAAATCTAAGTTCACCACTGAATTCCACCTGTAATTTTAAACTAGTTAAAAACAATAAGGATGAAGCAACTCACATAAATTTAAACGGTGATCAGATTCAGAGATGGTGTAGAAATATTGTAAATATATATCAATTCTAATCTTTTACCAAATACAATGAAGAGTTCATAACCGATGAATTACTGAGGTATCTGATTATTTTAAGTCATGATAAAAACAAAAATAAATCTTTTAGTGATCTTTAGCAGCAGAAACTAATCTCTTCTCTCCTCTGCTTGATGCAGTCCCCACCTCTTTTGGCTTTCACTTTTAAAATATCTTCCAAGACCCTGAGCAGGTTTATTATTGGTCCACATCCTACGTCAAAACATGATCTCATCAGAATTCAGTTCATTAGCTTATGAGTAACAAAGCTTGTACCAGCCAAAAAGACTGTGTCTACACAGCACAAAAAGGCAGAATAGAATATTCTTTAATTAACTTGGCAAATATTGACAGCTAAATTCATTAAATTTCCAAATTGGTTTAGTGATGAAAGATTCAACTTAATATGTTTCTAAGTTATAGAGATCGTTGAAAGTGTTTTAGGCTTTAAAAATGAAATACTTCTCATTTACATCTTCTCTAGTTGAGGGATTTGTTCATTCTCAAAGCAACTGAAATCATGTAACCAACCTTCTTTATGGGCACTTAAACTAACCAGTTCGTTAGAACTAATTACTTTAGACACCCCACATTTTTGTAAAACCTTTTATTTATTTTTGCAAAGAGAGATGACATTAAAAACATAAGTTTGCCATTGATTGAAATGATTATCTAAGAGAGTAATACACAAAAATGTGGGCAGTATTATCCAAAGAAGTAGGGATATTAGGTCTACCTGAATTTCAAAGACTTGCTAATGATATAAAACCACTTACTCACCCTACCCCTCCCACAGACTTTTCTTATGTTATGACTCCAAGTTCCCACCACAAAAATTAACATTGGAAAGTCACCTAAAAGTTTCTATTTTAAAGATGACTATGGCTTTGTCAAATTTTATGAAGAGTCTGAAGTTTATGTTAATCAGAACAGTGTGGAGGCATAGAGTTCCTGGGTGGGTAGCGATCAAGTTAGAAAGGAAAGACACAGCCATGGAAATAAGGTTCTCTTACTGATCTTCAAGGAAAGCAAATTACATGTGACTTTCATGTGTGAAACAAATGCATGAAGGCCATTTTTTTTTGCAAATATAAGGCCAATGATAATTGAGGATTTTTGGTGTCCTAATATCTGTTGAATATTCTTTTATGATATTATTTTTTCCAGATAAGGAAAAAAGATAAATTTATATCTAAGTACTGAAATGTAATCCTGAGAATACAGTGTGTGAAAACCAAGAGGAATGGTAATATTACTTGACTGAAAAAAAAAAAGAAGCAACTTCTTGCACAAAGTATAGAAAGACTTTATAGGCATATATATATCAGATACCTTAATCAGGTCTGGAGCGATAGCACAGTGGTAGGGCGTTTGCCTTGCATGCAGCCAACATGGCCGACCCGAGTTCGATTCCTCCGCCCCTCTCGGAGAGCCCGGCAAGCTACCGAGAGTATCTCGCCCGCACGGCAGAGCCTGGCAAGCTCCCTGTGACGTATTCGATATGCCAGACACAGTAACAACAAAGTCTCCAATGGAGACGTTACTGGGCCCGTTCGAGCAAATCGACGAACAACGGGAGGGCCTTTACCTTTTTACCTTTTAATCAGGTCTGGGTAGTAACTGAGTTTTAATGAAACCTAAAACCAAGTTATAATGAAAACAATACTGCAAATTCTTATGGGAACTATGCCAGTGACTGATTCAGAGAAAATGTACTCCTGTGGACTATAGTTCATGTATGCATGTGTACTGGGTACATACACACATGCTGGAAATTAAATCCAGGGCCTCACATTTTCACTATACCATCAAACTGCATTAATGATCGGCCCCTTGGAGACAATAGTTTAAGGGGCAACAGCTCTTGGTGTTGCGCAGCAAAGTTTAAAGAAAAGAACAAGAGCACAAAATAGGGAGGAAGATGAGAGAGGAAGGAGGGGAAAAAAGGGGAAAGAGGGGAAGAGAGGAAGGAGGGAGAAAAAGAAGAGAAGGGAGACAAAAGAAAAAGGAAGCGGCTAGAAAAAGGTGTAGGAAAGGAGTTCCTCAGTGCTCAGGACTATCTGGGATTGCTCACCATTGCACAGACACTTCAAGTGTGAGGAAAAACACAAAAGTCAAATATTTTTTTCCTTTTTTCGTGTTTGTTTTTAGGTCACACTCAGAGATGCTCAGGGGTTACTCTTGGCTCTGTACACAAGAATTACTCCTGGCAGTACTTAGAGGACCATATGGAATGCTGGGAATTGAACCCAGGTTGGTCGCATGCAAGGAAAACACCCTCCCAGCTGTACTATGTCTCTGGCCCCGAAAGTCATATATTTCTAACAGAAAAAAACTTGCAGCTAGGTTACATTATCAATCTGAGCAGATCGAGGAAAGGAAATGAGTCTTTCACATTAAAATTAAGTAGTGTGCCATACGAAGTCACAATTCAAGGAATGATGTACTGACCACAACTTTCTACCATGTAAGTGAAAATGAATCTCAGCCTTGGATCCCAAAAGCAATCAGAGAGCCTGTGAAATAAGACAAAAGAGGGTGGTAAATGTTTCAAGGCATATTCAAAAAAGAAACTAGTAGAGAAAAGGGGGTTCTCCTGTGTAGAGTAGAAAGGTATGGCAACCCCCATCCTTGTGTAGTGCAATCATCCTGGCAGTCACTTTTCCAGCTTGGAAAAGAATAGGAATGCTTTCACAAAGATGACTGCTCAATTCAGTCTGGAAGAGACGAGGTGAGACAGATATTGGTGCCATTTGAAGCGCACTTGCATGGAAATGAGCCTTGAGGGGGCCTGTGCTGTTTCTAGAAGTCCAAGTCTACTTCCCTATGACTGAGCATCTGGAAATGAACCTGGTGCTAGTCAGAAACAGGGACCGAAAGTCGTGAAGATCACAGCAACTTTAATTTTCCCTGAAGCTAGTGGGTTTCTCAAGCAATCATTTACCACTACTGTGAATGATTTAGCTAATATTTATATAAAATGAGAACATTAAAAATTAAATACAGAGTTGTTAGGGCACATTATAAATATTTGCTTAATCATATCATTTACAGTTTGTTACTAAGGGACATGCACCAAAACATACTTTAAAAAGATATCCAAAATAGAACAAAATTAATAGGAAAAGTTTTCAAAATGTAAAAAGTTAACTTTTAATAATGTACTGTCATTCACTTTTCAGGAATTCAGATCAATATAAATAGTTTTATAAATTTAAAGATAAGCGTGATCATCACAGGCCTTCCAAATTTAAATACTTCTATATGGGTCGATATCTAGATTCTTATGCCATGTATATTGAGTGGTTTCAGGAATTTGTTTTCAATTTTAGGGCCACAGATGACAGTGCTAAGGGCTTTCACCTGACTCTGAGCTCAGGGATTTGTATGGGTTTCTGGGAAAATCCCGGGTTGGTTGCATTCAAAGTAAACACCTGACCTGCTGTAATATCTCTCCAGCTCCAGAGTTTCAGAATATCTTACAGTATTTGGGAGTCGAATCCAATCCACCATGGGGTGCATAAGTACTGGAATTCAAACTGCCAGAGGTAGAAACTGCGCTCACTTAAGAGTCCAGGCTGTTTTTTCACTAAATAACGCAGGCAGGATGAATACCAGCACCTTGGTTACATGGCATACAACTTGCATAACCAAATGCTACAGACTTGTAGCTGTTAGACATCCTCCTCCACCAACACTTATCAACAAATCATCACATTCAAATGTGTAAGAAATAAATATTTTTCAAAGGATGGATGAAGCACCTGAAACTGATTCCATCACAATGTTATAATAGTTACAATATTATTAGCTTAAACTCTCAATAAAGATGTATTTGATTAGTCTTTATACTTCTAGTATCTAGTGAATTCTCGGTGAGTAATCAAAGAATAAAGAACAGCATTTCTTTGTTTTTACACACTGCTGGGTATGAGAATAAAAAAGAGTTAACTAATTACAAAAGCAGCTGTCAAGTTATTACTTTGTGAAGTGTGTGGTGTGGTGTGTGTGTGTGCGTGCGTGTGCGCGCGCGCGTGCGCGCGCGCGCGTGTGTGTGTGTGTGTGTGTGTGTGTGTGTACTGCTCTGGCCCTTTGAGCTTCCTTGAATTTCACCCAGCTGTGGGAAAATTTTGCTGGTTTTGTAATCATTTGAAAAGTATAATACATGGGATCAGAGCTCTAGCACAGCAGGTAGGGTTGCTACCTAGCAACATTTGGCCAACATGTGGCCCTAGCATTGCATGTGGCCAATTCAGGTTCAATCCCTGCAACCCTGAGTGAGCATAGCCAGGAGTGATCCCTGAGCACAGAGCCAGGATTAAGTCACAGGACATCCGGGTGTGGCCCCAAAGCAAAACAAAAGCAATTTATGGTGACATAAAAGAATCACTTTGGTGGCCATCGAGAGAGCACAGTGGTGGGGGGGGGGCAGAAAGTGGTAAGGCACTTGACTTGCCTTGCACTCAGTCAATCCAGATTTAACCTCTGGTACCGCATATGCATATGGTTCTCTGAGCACTACTGGAGGTCACAGCTGAGCACAATAACCCTTGAGCATCACTGGATGTGACTGCCAAACCCAACCTCTTTCCTCCCCGCAAAGGACCAAGAAAATAAGACTATGACATTCTGTATTTCAACATAAATTTCTGAGGTCCATTTGTCAGAGAGCATAAAGCAAATATATAAATTTAAATACGTTACACAGGTACTCATTGCTGTTCATGAACTAACCCCAGTCCATCTAATTGGTGAAAATCCTTACAGCCACGAAAAAGAAACAGTTTCAGCCAATGAAGGCTTAGTGTGAATGGGACTACTTTCTCATGAACATTTCCTTTCCATTTTTTTCACTATGAATCCTGGAAGATTGTTTGAAATTGCCCTACTATCAATGATAGAGTCAAAGCTGAAAGCCAAAAGTTAAGCCTGTAAAGGTAGCCAGGATGGTGGAAGTAAAGGGTAAAACAGGACTCAAGGTCAAATGATCTGTCTCATTTTCTCCCACTTGCTAATTTAGCATTTGCTTATAGATTGTGTTTTCTGGTCTACTCCCTGAAAAATTATATAGCTCTGTCTTAAACAGGAAAAGGTGTATCAGGTAAACAAAAAAGCAGCTACTGCTCCT